TTTTTTTGTCTCGAAAAAGTATTTTTGGAAATAAAAATATAAAAATATTTTCTAGTACTGTAGCGAAAAAATAAATTACTTTTTTCGATTAATGTTTTGCTCTGTATTGTTTGGAAAAATGTTTTACTTTCTCTTATTTCAATAATAAACACGCTTACCCGTGTTTAATAACTTATCTGATTTAGAGCCTTTAAAAAAACTCATTTAAACGAAAGATTTTAATAATCACTTATATATATTTTATTTGATTAAAAAACTTAGTAGGTTTCTGAAAAATGCAGATGGAAATCTTTTGATCGTAATTGGAAAAGCTTATTAATAGTAAAATTATGATATCGTAACGATAATTGGAATTATCGTTACGATATTATCGATATACTTATTATCGGTGGAAAATATATTAATCTTAATCGATATCATTAATCAATTTCCTTTTCTTAATTTGGAAGCCAATGAAGTTATTTAATAAAGTAGAACTTTGATATTATTTCAGTTACACTTTGTTTAAGTTATATACAATGCGAGGTTAAACTTAACCCGTGCAATATATTTTTCAGGTTGCTAAATACAGTTTTAAAATTTAATTGGTTACAAATTTTTGCTCGCATGGTTTTAAATCAATATCAGTCATTTTTAAATTTAAATCTTGAAAACTTATTATGAATAATGCATTTTTGAAAGTATTACAAAAATTTTAATGCCTGAAAAATTTCCATAATAGAAACTTTTGAGAATTAAGTAAATAAAGAATATTATCCGTGTATTAAAAAATATTATTTCTTTTGAATTATAAAATATTATTTTGCGGTAATTTAAAATATCCATTTTTGGTTCATGTGAAAAATAAGTAAAAACACTCATACTCCTTGTTTTCATGCATCTTAGCGTATTATATTATATACATTATTAATTATAAGAAATAAATCGTATTTGTTATTAATGATAATGATAGAAATCATTATCATTAATGAATCATCAGAATCATTAATAAGCCATCACATTTAAAATAAATCATCATTGTATTTTTAGTCATCCTGTTTATCCTTAATTAGCCCAATGAAATAACTCGGTTTGGGTAATTTATGATTTTAAGTTTCAGAAGTCATTGGGTGTACTTTTAGGCTAACGAAAGGGGAGTAAGTTTCTTATCTTTGCCTTTAAATTGCGAAAGTTTCTATACATGTAGATTATGCCCTCTTCATTCGTTTATCTTTGTAGAAAAACACAGCCTATAATATAAGAAAATTCGTTAATGAATACATTTTTATTTGCAATGGAAAATCAATAGAAATGTTCAATTGTTAAGCTTTTTCATTGATATGGAAGTTCTTATGGAATATGAATTGAGAAACTGAACATCTCATTAGTTCGATGCTGTGAAAATGGTCATCAGGTGTTAAATGCTGGTGAACTTATTTTCTGAATAAAATAAATGTAACATTTGGGCCAATTGCATCATCTACTTCCTCGTTGAAAGCCAGGTCAGAAGGGAAATCCCCGGTATCCACGGTGCCATAGATTCCAGACGGGAAAAGTCCCGAATAAATTAATAACTCTTACTCTTTTCCATTGAACAATCTAATTTAGCATTCATTCTTGATCCGGCAACACTGCGTGTAGGCAGCTCTCACCGGTCATAATATCGCTGTTAAACTTATTTTCTTCTTTTTCATAAAATGTTAAGTTTCATTATTAAACTATTGTCCTTGCTTTTTTCTCTAACTCCTACATAAATTTATACTGTTTTTTTTTAATTACAGAATCATTTTAATTTTTAAAAATAACATAGTCATTTTGGAAATGTCTCGTTCGTAATGTGGACAAATAAAGGAACATTCTGAATAGAAAATTTGAAAAGATTCGGAGCACACTCTTCCGTCTCTGGATCTTAGTTATTCACTATAGTAATAAATAAAATCTCGAATAGAGCATGTGGTTTAAGTTACGTTTTTTCCCTATCATGTCTTTAAAATACACAAAATGCTGCGTATGCAATAATGGGAGTGGGGAGCGATTTTCTATCACTTTTATGGAGTGCACTTAACTAATTTTTCGCTTCGCCAATATCCTTATAACTATAAAACATGTCAGGTTATCCAGAAATGTGTTATTAATTATACTTTGTCTAGACTAGAACATATGTTCAATGAAAATTTTGCTAATAAAAGTTTGTTATTAACTTGTCAAATATCCCCCAGTCGAGTGAGTCTTCAACATAACTGTGTCACTATTTTAAATTCTTTCCCACTAGTGAAATTCAATTAGTATTCAGTATATGTTTAAAAATTATAAAAGAATAGCTCGACTATTAGAGTCTCTAACAGATGAAACATGGTAGAAAATGCAAGTGTGTCAAGAACTTAAGGACACTTTTTTTGATTTTTGACATAAAAAGTTTTTATGCTCTAAACTATTCATTTAACTTTAGTTTGAAATTTTCGGTTTGTTACTTAAAATATTAAATTGTATAAACATTATTAAAATGCATATCATTCATTATTTGTATACATAAAAAAATAAGACTTACGATATACATGCTTAACTATTAAGTTTTACTATACATTATTTGTATACCTTAAATTAACTGTTTAATCATGTTTCATAAGTCACCGGTCACCGAGTTGTCCAGGAAGTTTGTTCTGATGAAAGAAAACTGGAATGTATGGACAAACTTGGAACAAAGCTTAGTCCAAAGCTTCGAAACATCATTAGATCAATTCCCATTTTTAATTTTGCATTTGTTTCTTTTTCTTGTTTTTTCTTGCTATTTTTTTTTCTTCTCGTTTTTCTATCTGTCTTGTCTTCCAACCATAACCATTAACCAATAAATGCCCTTTTAGGGGACGTGTTGCTTTACATTCATGGCTGATGAAACACTCAGCCAATCTTCTTCGCAACACACCTCCCGTTTTGGGAATGCCAGATAAGTGCTAGCCAGAGCGAAGCCTAAAAACAGATAAATTTCTAATAATAAATTCAACTATTAATAATGCTTAGAAAGAATTTTAAGAAAGTTTAAAATTATTGTTTCCAGTCATCGAATGAATAATGTAGGCAGTTGTACTTTATGTTTTTATTTTTTCAAAGCCTATAATTATTTCCACTGGTAGGGTACACTACCCGGTAATATAATACTCGGTCCAATATAAATATTATGGGTCAATATTAAAGGGAGATATTGGGCCATGTTGTAATACTGAATATTGACATCGAATGTCCTCATTTTAACTCTAATCAACTATAGACATAAAATTCTGAGAAGTAATTATTACATTAAAAAAAATCCCAGCTTCTAAAAAAGAATTCCTAACTATATTATAATAAATTTACAGTAATAAATTTATTATATATTATTATAATAAATTTATAATAATAAATTTATTATATATTATTATAATAAATTTATAATAATATTATCATAAGCCCTTTTTTGGCTTTTGTCTCCCATTCTTTGCTGTAATTTTTTATCTATTTCTTTGTATATTTACTAGAATCAACATATTATTTCAAATGACAGACATTTTACAGCTTAAGCAACTTAAATATAAGGTGCCGGTTTTAATTTCAAGGACTCTTCTACCAATTCTTGAAAATTGTATGGGAATTACCTACATACCCATTTAATGCATTTCGGAGTAACCACTAACCGGTGCAATTCTGTACTGGGCTGTGTAAGCTTCAGAAACAACTTTTAAAGTCCTCTTTCGTTCGAACTGACGAACGTCGAAAAGTTCTTTAATTCTATTGTTCTTAATGTTTACGACATGTTTAAACCTTGTTGTCTTAGCAATTTTTTTTTCAGTTTCAAAAACTAAAAGCTTGCAAATGGTTTGTCTAAAGAATAGGAAGATTTTATCCCCGTTAATTCAAAAATCCAGAGAGAAAAAAATTAGGTGTAGGAAAAAGACTTAAGCATATCTAAGTCGTTAAGTGAATTCCAACATCAGAATTAAAATGCATTCCGAAAGATGATTAAACAATTTAATGAAAGAAATCAGATAGACAAAAATTAAACGTGTTGAAGTTGTGAAGTCAATTAAAACATCAGAATTAAAGTAAATTTCAGATTCCGAACGATGGTTCTATAAATCATTAAGAAACTGAAGGAATAACACTTAAACACGAGAAAGTCGTTGAATTCTAACATCAGAATTGACGTGAATTCCGAAGGATAATTATGTAATTCACATAATATTTTCGGGACTAAGTAATTTGTCTTGGAAATTAATGGCCGCATTTTGTAAAAATGTTGTCGCAAAGGAAGGTATCGGTAAGAAATAGTTCGTTAAAAGTCGTAATTATTATCTACGATTTTTTATGTGCTTCTCAGAAACATTGAATTTTTCAAAAACACGTTTTATAGTAAATTTTGTGCTCAGAATGCAGAAAAAAATCTCACCAAATAACTTTCTATCTAAGGATCGTATCTTCACGTAATAAGACTCAATTTTCATGGTTTAAAAGGGTGATTTCAATCACAATCTAATTAATTCACCTTTTTTTTTATTTGTGTCTGAAGTTTTAGTATTACCTTCATCGAAAAAAATTTCCCGTTTTTATATTTTATTAATTTTTCAAAAATATCATTTAAAATAACTTTTCCTTAAATATTTCAACTTACTATTTTGTTGCAATTTTAACTATCAACCTTTAATAATTCTTCACTATATTTAATGTTTTTCATATTTAATCTAATTTAATAATATAATCATTTTCTTATTTAATCGAATTTAATAAAAAAGTTTTAATAAATATTTACTTCTATAGTTCCCAAACAATAACTGTAGAATTAATTTATCTCAGAAATTTAAAGCTAAATTCTTCTAAATAATCTTCCAATAATCTTTAAATAAGCTAATATTTTTATTTAAAGCACATTTAAAATAGATTTCATTGAAGAAGTATTCACATAAAAACAATTGTGGAGGAGCGAATGTTTGATTTTAAAGTTTTATCTTAGTTAAACTTACTGACTTAAAAGAAAACTTATTTACTTACAGGAACTTCTTCAGAATAGAATGACATAATGAACTTTAAAGCTAAGCGGTCACACTATCTTTGATGTTCGAAGTAATATGCTAAATCGAGTCGGTAAGTGCCTTTTCGAATAGTTTTATGTTTTTTTTTCATTTATTCTAATATTTATTCAGCCCATGAATTTCAAAACAGGAAATTTGATCTAAAAATAGTTTAAATAAACTGAGTTAATTAAGAAGATTTTATTTATTTAAAATTAAGTAATCTAAAGATTTTTTACTCGTTAAAAACTAAACTTAATACGTTACTAAATAAAAAGGAATGAAAAAAATAAAATGTAATCTTATATTTTTCATATATACAATTTACTTTATTTTGTGACCAAATTTTTTATTTATATTGCGTGATATATCATAGAACCTTTGGCATTACATATATATGGCTTTGGCATTATATATATNTATAATATTTGGAAAAATTGCATCATCTACTTCTCGTTGAAAGGAGCCAGCTTCCCCGGAAGGGAAAGCCCCGGTATCCACGGTGCCATCGAGTCCAGACGGGAAAAGTCCCGAATTGATAATTTACTCTTAACTCTTTTCCATAGAACAATCTAATTTCGCATTCATATTTGATCCGGCAACCATGCGAGTAGGCAGCATACACCGGTCATGATATCGCTGTTAAACTTATTTCTTTAATCTATCAAATGTTAAGTTTGATTATTAAACTAGTCTTTATTTCCTCTTATGCTCCACAAACTCCTACATATATATACAAATGGAGGCTAAGGGGCTATAATATATATAATAGATAACTCGCAACCCGGGTTCGAATGGTCTGCACCGACAACAGTGCTGACGCATCGTGGGTTAGAGTTCCCTTGCAATCAGGCTAACTGTGGGAGTTTTTTTTATGGTTTTCCTCTTCATGTATCACAAATGCGTGTTAGTTCTAGCAAAAAAGTACTCCTAAAAGGCAAATTTCTCCAACTATTAGATCCTGGAGTTCCCTTGCGTTCTGGATTGTGTTCAAATTTGGAAGGTTACGAAGTTGAAAATTGGTAGTCGTAAACTCAGAATTGGGTCGTCTGTTGGGTCGACGTTTACGAAATAAAATATTCTTTTCTTCGGGTATTTAATTAAGCATAAAATTTTTTTTAACAAAACAATATAAAATTTTCCTAGGCAGTATTATTCTTCTCTGCTTCCGCCTCAAAAGGTAATGCAACTATTTACCACTTTCTTAGGGGAGAGTGAGCAATTAACAGTCTTGCTTTTATTTCTGATGTCCTGTTAATCTCTAATTTTATTTTACTATCACAGTAATCATTAAAATGGCATTTTTAAGTTTATTTAAAATGACTATGTAATTACTTCTTCCGTTTAAAAATGTTATTTCATATTTTCTAATTTTTTAAGACTGACTTACTGTTTCAGTTATAATTCAACATGAGAAATGTATATAATTTTTACAGTATCGATTTGTAAAATTTTTCTTCTGCAAGTTTTGATGTAGAAAACAATTTGCTGAGTTAAGTAGGAACAAAATACTCATAACTATTAATTAAAAATGTTTGATAACCCGGTCGAAAATAATTTTAAAATGCACTTTGTTTTCTCAATTTTTCTTTCTATTCTCTAATGATTTCTAGTAAATAATTATGATATTTTGCAATTAACTTAAAACTATTTATATAAATTATTTTATTATATATGTATACAAGGTATAACTTTAAATTAATAAGACAACTTTAAAAATTCACAAGAATATAACAAGAATTGAATACAGTTTCAATGTGTCTCAAGGAAACCTCGACCTGATATAAATGTGCTTCTGTACTCGTTTTGAAAGTTTCAGAAATAAACTTTTCAAATCCTCTTTCTGAGTATTCTTCAATTTTGAAGTTCTTATAACGTTTTCGACGTTCTTAAACCTTTTTAATTTTTTAAAGGTTTCGGTATCGGAACAGAAGACTGAAAAAGATTAGTCAAAATAAAATATATGATGCATGATCCATCACAACAACCTCCAAAATCTAAAAATTAACTAAATGAGCGAGGTTTAATGATAACAAAGTTATTAAGTAAACCTTAACGTCAGAATTGAAAAACAGTTGAAGGGAGGATTTGCAATAATGTTGCCAACATTCTTATATCTTTTTGCTATTGCAAATTTTTCAGTATCGGAAAAAATTATCTGAAAAATATTAGTCAAAGTAAAAGATATGATGAATGATTCATCAGCACAAGCCCCGCATTCTAAAAATTTATTATCAGTACAAGGTTTCAGACTGTCAAAGTTATTAATATCAGAATTAAAGAACAGCCCTAAAAAGACTTGAAAAGTTGTTGTCAACTTTCTTATACTTTCTGGCAATAGCAAAGTTTTCAGTAGTGGAAAAAAAAGTCTGAAAAAGGTTAGTCAAGATAAAAGATATGATGATTAATCAGCGCAACCTCCGAAAGCTAAAAATTTACTATCGGTACAAGGTTTTCGAATGTAAAAGTTATTAATATCAGAATTAAAGAACAGTCATAAAAAAAGACTTGAAAAGTTGTTGTCAACATTCTTATACCTTCTGCCATAGCAAAGTTTTCAGTAGAGGAAAAAAAAGGTCTGAAAAAGATTAGTCTAAGTAAAAGATATGATAAATGATTAATCAGCACAACCACCGAGATCTAAAAATTTATTATCCGTACAAGTATTAAGAATGTCAAAATTATAAGTAAACCATAAAATCAGAAATAAAGAACAGTCCAAAAAAGGACTTGAAATGTTGTTTCTGAAACTTTTGCATCCAAGTAGCGAACTAAACTACTGTAACCTAAAATTATGTATTAAATGAATATGTAATTTGCATAATATTCTTAGGAATTATTAAATTCGTCCTGAAAATTAAAAACTACACCATCTATTAATTTCTAAAAGAATTATTTTTTATGTAGTCCTTTAATATTAAATATTTTTAAAAAAAATTAATTGTGATTTATTTTAAATGGTTTTTATTGTAAATAGAGTTTTGTTAGAAACTTAAGACTGGTCATTAATTATTTAAATCGCTCTCCACTTTCACTGAATCAAGTTTTCAAAGGCCAATTTATTGTTGAAAATAAATAGCCTGTTACTTAAAATATTAACAACCAGTCTGTAAATTTCCTCTTTTAACCATTCATCAACCTTTTAGAAAAACTAAAAGCTTGTTAGCTTCGATTTTTAACTATTTTTCTTTTAAGAAAGATCCTTTAAAAGCGTGATTAATTATTCATAGGATGGTGTTAAATTGCAAGTTTAATTTTAAGTTAATCTGATGCAATTTACTCTTAAAAAAATTCTAAATTTGATATAAAATGGTACTTTATATTTTATTGTATTTTATGCTTTAATTCAAAAGCAAAAATATATGAATTCTATTTCAGTTACTCATAATATTATAATTATTACTTATATTATAATTATCATAATGTCAAAAATTATCAACTGAATTATATATATATATATATATATTTGATTTCAA